ATTCTATGATGATATATTTCTTGGAACCAATTAATCTTATTTAATGAAATATTGCTAGATAGTTGTTATGTTTTTTGTTCATAAGGTAATTTGCATTACAATTTAATTTATTTATTTATTTATTTTTAGGGAATCTTAATTAATTGCATTATTTACTTTGTTTGTTAAAAACTGCTTGAAAGTATCACATTATTGTTTAATTTAGATTTATTTAGTTTACTGTTTTACCATATTATTATTTTTATTATTTCGTTAATTCTTGTGTTGTTACTTTAACTTAATTTGTCCTCTAAATGGAAATTCTGTTGGGCAATAAAGACATTATTATTATTATTATTTTTTTTTTTATTTTAAGACCCACCACTGACCCGGAAATGACCGGCATTCAGGCAAGACTTCTATCATTACGGGTACTAAGACCAAGTAATGATATGCATTGATTAGATTAACAGAACAACTTTCGAGATTCTAGAATTACAGCATACAAATTAGTCTGCTATTATTCTCTAATCTCACCCCATCCCCAAAAGTCCAGCGTAACTACCGACCATTTATCCGCGCATCACATGAAAAGTGACCTACACTACTCTGACCTACTGGTGCTAATCTAATCTGACTGACATGATCAGACTGTTCAAGAAACTTACGAACAATATGACATGTTCCTAACAAAACAGCTTTTTGAATTTTGACAATTATTGAATCATTCAAATGCAAAGACTTTAAATTCTCAACTAAGCTATTTGGAACTACACCTACATTAGAGATAACTAGGGGTAGAATTGAAATTTTTTTAAGATTCAACATGGATTTCATTTCTATCGATAATTGTAGATATTTTGAAATCTTGGTGTCGTATGTTTGAATAATGTTGTTTGTGTTAGGAATAGCAATGTCAATGAGAATGGCTTCGTTCGTGTGTTTTTTGATAAGTATGATGTCTGGTCTGTTAGCTGTAATGTTTAAGTCTGTAAGTATTGTGCGATCCCAGTATAATTTGTATTTGTTATTTTCAAGGAATGGAGACGGAATGTAAGTGTAATAGGGTGTCGTATCTTCGATTAAGTTCATAAGTGTTGCTAATTCTTTGTGAATGATTTTGGCTGCGTTGTCGTGTCTAGCTTTGTAATCAGTTTGTGCTAGGATGCTGCAAGAAGAGATTATGTGCTGGATCGTTTCAGGTTTTGCTTTGCATAGGCGACAGCAGTCGTTTTTTATGTTCGGATCTTTGATGATGTATTTTCTATAATTCTTGGTATTGATTACTTGGTCTTGAATAGCAAACACAAATCCTTCTGTTTCGGCATACAAACTTGATTTTTTTAACCAAATCAATGACATCTTCTTATTGACATGATTTTCTTCTAAGTCTTTGTAGAATTTTCCATGTAGTTGTTTTTGTTTTAGCCCACTTATTATTTTATCTATTGTGTGGGGGGTGTGGATTTCTTCGGTGTTCGAAGAAATCAGTTAATCTATTAGTGGATAATACATACTATTATTATTATTATTATTATTATTAATGATATTATATTATTATTAATACAGGCGTCAGAGCGTCGCAAGAGGATTGTTGGTAGTTAAAAAACCATCTGGAGTTCCACGAAACTATAGCGGCTGCCATTTCCACTTGTTGTTGAAGCTCTTCGATAGTTTTTGGACACTGTTGATTTCCATTAATTAACTGTTTCATCCAACCGATCGACCGATCGTTGAAATTGTACTTCTTGACGAGCATGTGGATTTTCATCGGACCACATGTGAGTGCTGTGGCTGCTGAAAACAGCATTGTGAATGGATCCTGCTTCATCCGTAAACAAAGTGCACTTTAAAAAGTTAGAGCATTTACGACACTGCAGTAACAACCATTTGAAGTAAATTACACAACGTGGACAATCAGCAGGCTCTAAACCTTGAACTTTTGAACATGATATGAATGTGGCCTTGTTCTTTGAATGTACGATGCACTACAAACTGTGAAACTCCAACTTCAGCTGCAAGTGGGCGAGTGCTGATGTCGGGCTCTTCTTCGTCGCGTTCCAAAATTTGTTGTTCAGCTTGCAGTATTCTTTCTGTCCTATCACGGCCACGATCGTGAGTTTAGGTTGAAGGTACTATGATCTCGCAGATGCTGTACCACAGATGCAAATGTTTGCGCACACCATAAAGCATTACCAAATCGACACACTCTGAATTGGAAAAATTCACCATAAACCAACTCCCGACCGTTCGATGGTAGCAACTGATACATGACTGGCCGTTTTCGTGTTTTTGCACGTTTCTTATCAGTCACTTTTTTGGTTCTTAATCCGAGTCGTTCTGTGCCATTCACTGAAAGAAGTAAGTCAAGACGCACTACAAGCGGCGTGTATAACAATTTATATTTAATTTTAAATAATTTTTTCTAGACATTGATACCACTTAGGAACCTGAATTTTACACAGTGAAATAATCTTATTGTGAGCTATTCCCCATTTTTTTGTTGCATATATTTCGAAATCACCATGTATTAACTAAAAGTTTTATTAATAGTTATTTTGATCATGAATGTGTTATTTAGTTGTTAAACCTACCACAAGAACCAATTTTAAAATCATAGTAACTCCACCAAAATGTGAGAAGGATTTTTTTTACTATTTTTCCCAGCCTCAATTGTTACGAGCGTAGCGGAGAGTTAATCCGCCATTTTCTAGACACCCGGTATTGTATTATTGTTTCTGCAAAAAATATAAAAATATATACAATTTTAATGGAAATATGCACGTTTTTTTTTTTCAAAATAATCGGAAAATATATAAAATAGAAAAATATGCTAAATATGGATCCAGTACGCATTTTGCATAGAATTCGGACTCTACTTATAAGTAGGCAAAGTGTTTGCCAAAACAAGCGCTTTAGTCTTTGCAAGGATCTTCAAAACTGATATTAGACTCATTGTAGAATATGCTAATGCTGCTTCTCCATACCTCAACGTGATATTGATCAGTCCAACGCCGAGCCACGTATAAAAACAAAAATATTTCTAGCAAAATAAAAACTCAAGTCAATTTTACCACTACTATTATATTTTATTTTATTAAATTATTTTTGGGTTTTATGCCCCGTACCCGGTAAACGTTTTACATTCATGACCCTGGTCGAAAGGGTGGTACCAGACACTTTTTCGAACTATCTTCCCTCCTCTCATTTACCTCCATGTGTGATAACTGATAAGATAGACGAACTGTAAGAAAAGTGCAAAGTTGGCTTGTCCATTTTACTCACTCCGCGTAGCGAAGGCTCTCTATAACGTAAGAAACTACTTGGTTCCTTAAATTTATTTAGTTCCTACAGTATTTTGTAAAGAAAAGTAATTTTATGTAATTTAACATTATTTTCAAATCCATTTTTATGTGTCGCCTTTGGCACTAATTTTTACAGCAGTATATTTGGTGATTTTTTTTGTCAGTTAATCTATTAGTGGATAATACATACTACATACTGTACCTCAAATAATTCTTGGGAGCGAAGAACAAGACAATATGAATTAATTGATCTGTTTTTGCAATAGTACACCTTTATTTTATTAGGAGTTTAAGTGATACTTTATGTGATGGAGTATATAAGATTAAATGCCGAGCCATAGCGAGGCGGATTAAGTCTATACGAGTCACAATCATAAACTCACTTAAACTCCGAATGAAATACAATAGGAGTATTTTATTTTCAGACCATTAATACTCTTTTGCAACGACTATTTTCTGTCTTCTTACTTCATTAAAAAATTGCCTTGCACTGACTTACCATGGTTACTATGGTTGATAATCACGATGATTTTCACATAAATGTATTCTATTTATACTCCGGCGGAGTATAAGTAGTACTTATACGCCGCTCAAACAGGCTGTGACAAAAATGAGACTTAAACCCCAATAAAAATGTCATATAAGTGTCAATTATATGACATTTGAAAATAATAGATATTTATTTTATTAGGAGTTTAAGTGATACTTTATGTGACGGAGTATGGACGATTAAACGCCGAGCAATAGCGAGGCGAATTAAGTCCATACGAGTCACATAAAGTCACTTAAACTCCGAATGAAATACAATATTTTATTTTCAAACGATTAATCTTCTTTTGAAATGATTATTTCCCATCTTCTTGCTTCATTAAGGAATTGCCTTGATTTCACTTACCATGGTTACTATGGTTGACAACCACTATGATTTCCACATATTTATACTCCGGCGGAGAATAAATGTTTTATTTATAGCGGAGTATAAGTAGTACTTATGCGCCGCTCAAACACGGTGTCATAGAAATGACACTTAAACCCCGGTAAGACCGTCATATAAGTGTCAGTTATATGACGTTTGAAAATAAACAATACTTAGCCACAGTATAGACTACTAGACATTTAATAATTTTAACAAATGTTACCGATAGAGTACCACTACTTCCTGGTAAATCCGCCCTCTACGAAGTCGGGCCTCTTGTCGTAGAGGGCAAACTCTTAGACTTAGACATGAATTCCATAGAACTGACCGATTAACGAAAGAGCACTGTATTACAGAGTACGATGTTGCAAAAAAAAATTTCTCAAAATACCCAACACAACTTCAGACGCATGTTTGTTCTCCAAAAATTTTCAAAAATGGTCTGAGACGTTGTTTTCTTTAACTTGTCGATTACAGTCGTTGTTGCCCTGTGGCAGATGTGTAGGTAATTTTAAAATTTCCTAAATTAAACGGTCTTCTTGTCAGCTTTATTGAAGTTCCTATTTGTAGTACAAAAATGTCTTCTTAACAGATTTATACAAGTGTTGTGCAAATTCAGTAGATTTAAAATACTTCTACCCCGAAACTTTTTCTTCGAGAATAAGAAAGTCTTTCGGTACATGATATAAGAAGATGTTTTTGAACTTAAAATTTGCTAGTTTTAGTTTAATATTATCATTATTATTATTACTGATAAAAAACAAATATAAAAATTAATTATTTGTTTCTAATATTTGTAGGCAACCGATGGATTTCTATTTGTGGTTGGCTGCGATCGTGGGAGAATTCTGTATGTTTCAGAGTCCGTATCAAAAGTGTTACATCACTCACAAGTAAGTTTCGAAATATTGAAAAACATAAGTTTTTAAATTATAAATACATTGAACTTTTATTGTAGGGAGATCTCTTGGGCCAAAGTTTATTTGATATTCTACATCCAAAAGATGTAGCTAAAGCAAAAGAACAACTATCAGCGTCTGACTTAAATCCTAGGGAACGACTAATAGATGCAAAAAGTTAGTGAGTATATTTTCACTTTTATGTTGTGACATTATTATAAGATGAACATTAATATTAGTTTGAGGGTAAAATTTACCCTTGTCTTGGAAACCGCGCTTTATATTCATTTTTTTTTTGCATATAAAACAGCGTAAAAAATTACCTTTTTGGCCTCGACAACTTACTGTAAAACTGACATTTACGTATCGTAGATAGCCATGGTATTTTGATTTTTACACATTAAACTGTCATTTACCAAATTAAGTGCGGTAATAAACACAGAAATTTTCAGAGTTCTAAACCCCTTAAAAAAATTGACACGTCATCATTAACAAAGCTTGTGTTCACCAAAATAAGATACCGCATAAATGCATCTGTTAAATATTTTAAAATAATAGCAATTGATTTTTTTTTATTGAGTTTGGAGAGCGCCATCTGGTGGCATAAGCAGCAGTCATATCGAACTATCTGTTACGATTTTAATTTTATCTGACGTTTGACGCAGGCAAAGCCTACTTACAAATTCCACACAAAAAAAAATGTAAAAATTGACGAAAATAAGCACCACTAAGTTATCGGCCAAAAATTTGCATACATTATACATGTGGTAGGTATCTTACAACGCTCAGATTTATTAAAACACTCGGCTTCGCCTCGTGTTTCAATATTAAATCTTCGCGTTGTAAAATGTAACCTACCGCATTTATAATGTAAATAACTATTTCGTATTTTGATAATCAGAAAGATAGTTTTTAAAATTTTTACATTAATTAGTCTAAAATATCAATGTCGACTTTCTATAGAAGAACCTGTGCTTAAGTCGATTATTAACATTTTCAAAAAGCAACCGATACGACTACCATTGATTAATAAATACATACAGATAGACCCATTCTATTGTTTGGAGTGAACATGCCCAAAGCCGGCGAATAAGAGATAGCGCACCAACATTTGGCCGTCAAACGACGTCGAATAGCTTGGAGCCCAACCGCGCGCATAGACAACCCCCAGAACAGCAACAAAACTGTTCTTAAATCTACCACTCGATAGAGAGCGACAGAAAAAAGTTGTAAGAATCTCAAATAGGCATGAAGATAATTTACGTTGCCAGATGATCCTAACACATTTCGCCGATATTTCTAGTCAATTAGATTTTATTTCGTTTTGAAGTTTCTGATAAAAAAATGGGATTATTGTAAAACGAATAAATAATACAAACACATTATTACTTGTTTTAAATAGGTACTTGTTAGTGCTATTGAAAACGTAGAAATAAATATAAAAAACACACTGGAAATTTTTTTACGCTTTCGTGAGCTTCCTTTTGTTCGTGTTTATTACTGGGTTTTCTCAAAATTTACTATATTTTTTTAGAAAACTTATTAGACTAGAGACGGGCAGATATCCACTAAAGTATGTAAAGTAAAATGTATTGAAATATAATTTGTGTTAAAAAGATTTTTGTGGTTTTATGGTTTATTTACATAATTTACTTATTTACAATGAATGTTTTTACTACGTAGCACAAGTTCTTGATATTATTTATTTTTATTTCAAATAATAATCATGTTTTACTTAGTTTTAACAAAGAGAATCTTTCGCTCATTATCTAACACACTTTTGTACATTGAGAAATTCCATTCCACGTCGCAGGACGTTGCAGGACAATATTTAAGTAAATAAGCTTTTCGAAAAACAAGTCGATTTTATGTGTTTTAAAATTCAGTCTTTGATATCCGGACTTCCGGCTTTTTGGTGTTTCACTTCGACACAAGAACTATCTTAAAGAAAACAAACAGTGGAAAAATGGAACAATTTTACAAACTCTTCTTTTATTTTTTCTGTCTTGCAGCGAGAAGGAAATATGGCGTATTGTACATTTCTTAGTAAAAACGGCGATCCGGTTTAAAATTCTACCTATCAAATTACGTTAACAAACTCAAATTTTCAATGAAGAGGCAGACTGTTCTAGGAAACTACTAAATCTCTTCAGTTACGAACTATTGAAAGACCGCTGCTCTCATTGACACTTCCTACCTACTTCAGTTCTTACCTGGCCTCTACTAAGGCTCTAGTTTGCAAGAGACCCGACTTCGTAGAGGGCGGATTAACCAGGAAGTAGTGCTACTCCATCGGTAACACTTGTTAAAATTATGAAATGTCTAGTAGTCTAAGTATACTGTGCACAAGTATTGTTTATTTTGATTTAAATCGACGCGACCGTCGGGAACGATTATTCAGTCGAGCCCAGTGAATGAACTCAATCAAGTTGTACATAATCAGTCGTGTAAATTCGAGCTATTAAGAAATAAATTGTTAAGTTTAACTCCACTAGTGTCGGAAGTGAAATTTGAGATTAATAACTGGTTTTAAGACGACTTTCGGGCAGATTGGACAAAAATTCTGAAGAATTTATGTCTGTCGAGACGAGAGCTCAAGCTGCGAAAATGGAGGAAAAGATCATGCATTTTGCATAACCTTCAAATTTGTTTCCATGTCCTTCATTTCTTCTTTAATTCCTGTTATTTCATTTTTGTTTGTTTCTACTTCCTTTTGGAATTTTTCAGTTAGGCTGATCTGCTTATCTATTTTTTCATCCACCTTTTCCATTCTTGCATCCAATTTTTCGTTTCTATAGTTGCATTCATTTTTTCATCTCTTGCATCCATTTTTAGATTCATTTCTTCCATTCTTGCGCCTATTCTTTCCATTCTTGTGTCCATTTATTCATCTATTTCTTTGTTCCTTGCGTCCATTTTCTCGTCCATTTCTTTGTTTCTTACATCTTACATCCATTTGCTCGTCCATTTCTTTATTTCTTACGTCCATTTTCGCGTCCATTTGTTCCATTTTTGCTTTCATTTGTTCGCCTCTTGCGTCCATCTTTTCGTCCATTTCTTTATTGTTTGTGTCCAACTTCTCGTCCGTTTTTTTTCATTTTTGCGTTCATTTCCTTGTTTCTTGCGTCCATCTGTGCGAGGACGTTTGAGTTCTCGTTTCGACAGGCATAAATTCTTTCGAATTCTTGCGCAATTTGCCCGTAGACCTTCGTAAAACCAATGATTAATCTTGAATCTCACATCCGACACCAGTGTTACGATGAGTGCTGATTAAAATCAGTGTGGATAAAACTCGACAATTTATTTCTTAGTAAGTCAAATTTACACGATTAATTACAAAGCGACTATGTACAAAATAATTCCGGCACAACTTGACTGGCTTCTTTCAACATTCGCTAGACTCGACTTCCCTGCTCTCGACGGTCGTTCCCATTTAAACAATCACACGATTCTTCTCGAAACGCCTCTTTCACCGCTTCTAGACTTGTCTGGAGCACCCATTCGCGACTTCCGCTTCCAGGCTCTTCTTTAACACATACTAGAAAACCCATAGGCGTCGTATCGGGGCGGCGTTTGGGTTTATTTCGTAATAGTACATACTCGTACACCTTTTTTACGAATAAATAAAGTTAATAATGTATGCATTGTAAGAAAATCTTGCAAGGGCGAGGAAAAAATATTCAACACCAATCGAATTTTAAACTTGCGGGCTGGTCCTACTAATTTTCGACAATGGAGGGTTCGTTATATATGTTGTGATAACCCGAACTTCCCGCCTTAAAAATTGACCTTGAAACAGTTTGAAAGGCCCGCGAAAAATTCAAAAATTCAAAGTTTGGCCTTGGCTGTGATCGTCTAACAAATGAGAACCTACGTTGTGTGTTTTTTTTTTTGTTTTTGAAAAATGGCGGGAAGACGTTCTTTCATACAAGTGCATACACTGTCGAGAGCGCAAGAAATAATAGACAAAAATTGTTTTGGAGGGGGAGTACGGCACCCCTCACAGGGGGAAAGACGCTTCGAAGATTTACCCCTCAGCGCAAAAACCCCCTTTGGTTTTATTCCCGGACGACATATTACATTTCAAACACCTTAAGATATGTGAAAGAAAAACACTCGCGAATTGACAGACATACACCTATGAAAAACGAACAAACGGAAAATTCTATACATCTGTTTGGAATATTAATAATACAAATATACAAGTATTTGAATATCACAAATTTAATAAAACAAAGCAAAAGCTGAATCAAGTAACTGGATGCAAATACACAAGTTATTACAGGCGTGTGGCGGCCGATCTCTTTTTCCTTTTTAAGTTACGGCAGTTAACAGGAGCACAAGAAAAGTACCCCTGGAGCGTTGTAGCATAAGCGGAGTCTGGGCTACCGGTCTGGAACTGTTCTCCCCCCACGACGGTGATTCTATCTATCGCAAAGCCTACCCCACACGCATATCCCATGACGAACTGTGCCCTGCGGAACTAGGCCATTACGGTCGTCCAACCCGCAAGAGATCTAAGCTATGTACAGAAGCTGAGAAATTTACAACGTCGGCGGCCGCCCCTGAATCTATCCAAACCTGTGGACTTGTACAGGTGGCACGATAAATCTCGCCAGCTCGACTAGGAACCGAACCTCGCTTCTGCCACGTTTTCTATGTTATTTAACCTCAATTCCATTTTAAAATATTCAATCTCTTATAACTCCGATATTAACAACAACTGAACAAGTGTTAAAGTTTCAAAGGGCAATAAACAACATTTATATACGCCATACAACCTTGTGAAATTTTAAACAACAAATAATTCTTATGTGAGATTAAAGTTGGACATCAAATAATGTATACGATAGAAACATTCATCAACAAAGTATTTACAAAACAAAACTTAGCAAGGATTTATGCAACAAAGAACTGATGTGAAATAAACTTGTACAAATAGAAATATCATGTGAGGTTAAAACTGTAGAACATGAAATTTACGTTCAATTAAATTTATACAACAAATAAAATTATTGAGGTTAAAATTGTGAGATTAAAGAAATATAGTATGAGGTGGAAGATTGCAGAGTTACCAAAATTTACAGGAGATTAATATTTGCCACACTTTATCAACTGTTCAAACAAAGAGTTTACATTATGCCAAATTATATCATGAACTAAATGATTGGTTACTTCAAAAATAATTTACTTTGAGAGTTTAAAATACTACGAACTGGTTACCCCAACAAAACACATAATAAACAAACACAAAAATATCCAATTATCGCTCCGAGGAAAAAGCGTCTCGGGTATGTAAATTCCAAAATCGTTGCGAGGAAAAAGCGTCTCGGTGATGTAAATTCCAAAATCGTTGCGAGGAAAAAGCGTCTCGGTAACGTAAATTTTCTGTAGCGTTGGGGGCATGCCTTGATTAATCAATCAATCTGGCATCGTGAAACATGCCCCGATGAATTAATCGTGATAACGATGATAACCACCTAAGGGGAGAAAATATCATAACCCCCCCGCCAGTCCGCAGTATAATGAACTTGTTTAACTGCCGTAAATGAACTATTAGCAATCTTGTGTAAAGAATTTAGAAGTGTTATAATGTAACACTTACGCATATGCATCCAGAGACCTATTCGTAATTAAACACAAGGTGTTTTTCCTGACTAAGTGAATTTCATGAAATCTTCTAGCAAATGGTTTACTTAAATAATCCTGATTGTTAAATTGTGTTTGCTCTAGCGGAGTATTAAGAAAAACTAACTTGATTGGTGAATTTACCAACAAAGAAACAAATTTACAGCACGTGTTCACGTTCAACCGGAAGTCCGCATTTCTGATTAAAAGGACGCAAGAATTAACCGCGCGGGTTGGGGACAACTGTATCATTATGAAAAATACGTTTGATCGTCGTTAAACAAAGGCTTCCTCCCGTTTTAATAACTACCAAACCAACTAATTTAAACCTAGTTTTTACCACGTGGTTACACACACACAGCCACATTCGTAATGACCTACCATGCCGTTTCTCTACCAACCCTCTAACTGAAATTACCCTAGCGCTACGTGCTGCCATCTAACCCAAAGATCATGCAAACTAACCCCTAAGCGCTACGTGCATTAGACCATCCATGCATATTTGGTTGCCTATGTTTAAGGATTTCCTTTTTGTGATTGAACTCTTTTTTTTTTCAAATTAAAATTAATCAAATGTGATTTCGCGCCGCTGTCAATTAATTTCAGCGCGAAAATTTTGATTTAAATTCGGTCACCACAATGTACTCTTGCATTTCCATAATTATATAAAATCCACAACAATATAATCGATAACAATTTGATTTACATATATGAAAATCAACACAAAACAGCTTGTGCATCGCGGATACTCTCTACTTGCAGGTCTATCGGCTCGGCCCGACAAATTTACTTGTATTCGCAAAAGATTAGTTTCTGGCTTTATATGATACAAATAACTATTTTGATATTTTATTCAAGCTTGAGAACTTACATTATACTGTTCCATCATTTGACTCAGGCTTTACGTAAATAATCTTTACTAAATTGTAACTTCATGTTTAAATATTTTGTAGCCCATGGAACTTAACTGCAGATCTTCACACGCCCTAGAGACCGACGCATTCTACTCTGTACCTACATATATGTCTTTTGCTCTTTTGCTTTTACATTGGGCTTTCGTGCTAAGCTTGAATGTGGGTTACGTGTCTTACACCATTTTTCAAACACCTCTGACTTTTAATGTTGAAGAGCAATTTTCATTATTTTCAGCAATGTTGCCTGTCAAAGCCGATGTGCCACAGGGTGGATCCAGATTGTGTCCAGGAGCAAGACGTTCTTTTTTTTGTCGAATGAAGTGTAAAGTATCTTCCCAAGTTAAAGAAGAAGCCGATACAACAACGGGTTGTCATAAAAGAAAAAAGCAACAGAATTTAGGTTCCTGACATTTGCTGCTATGCCTGCTAACTATAAAATGTAATATTTTAGACAAAAAATATAATTTAATACATTGCACTGGATATTTAAAGTCTTGGACTCCAGCAAAAATAGGTTTAGAAGACCAAGAAAATGACGGAGAAAGTGAATCCTGCAATCTGTCATGTTTGGTTGCAGTTGGGAGAATTTTACCCGATATATCTGTTGTTTCGATAGTTACGCAAAGTAAGCCCCAAGTTCAGCCGATCCAGTTTATATCTAGACACACTTTAGATGGAAAATTTCTATTTGTAGATCAAAGGTAAGTTGTTTTTTGGTTCCCTAACTTAAAGAAGTATACACTTCAGAAACGGTAACAGCGTGATTTGTTTTGAAAAACTAAAAGAAATTATAATTTTATAGATCCGCGAGTAAGTGTGATATAGTTTTTATCAAAGCTTCACAATCATTCATGGATTAGTGATATTCACTTCAACTACGAACGCTCGATCACGAATCTTTTACAACTTTTAAAACTCAGATTCAAAAACACCTAAACGCGCCTCCAACCAAGAAATTGAACGGTTTTTACTATTTACTGTTATTAATAGTTAAAACGTCAGAATATGTTTAGTTTTTGGAAAATTAAATTCACTTTATTAATTTCATATAAGATTGGTTTAAGAGCCAATAAAATTAAATAATTTATGTTGTCCTGTAACATTTCATTAATCATTTTAGCTGCATAATATTTGCCTTTGGTAATTATAAAATTAAAATATGTTTTTAATTCAAGTAAATGTCCAATAATTCTAGCCACAACCATGTAGCGACAAAGCCATCTGGTATCTCATAACTGCACTTTTGTGCAGTATTTTATGGAACGTTTTGTTGTTATTGAGTAGGTCAGCTTTTTACATTCAAGTCTTCTTAATGAAGAATGACTGCACCAATTATATATCTCTTTACACAAGTAGTCAAGATGTGATGGCAAAAGCTCAGCAGCTTTCGAGAAAGCGTTATCTATTGAATGGCATTTACATCTGCTCAATTGAATTTTTGGACTGTCTTTTTTTAATTAATCTATGTACAGGGTTAGTCACGAGAGAATTACTTCTGAAAATTATTTTTACGCAACCCAAAATACTAATACCCTGTACCACTTGATATTATCTAAATTTAAAATGAAATGCCTAATCCATGATTGCTTTGACTTTGGCAGTGTCACTTTGACGTTAATTAATTTAAAAAAAATTTTTTCATCGTTGACTCGCCTCTAGAGCCCCATTGGATCGACGACATACAGTCAGATCAATCTGGGCTATACTGAAGCCGTAAGTGCTCTACCAATGTTGTTCGCCGCTAATGTGCAAGTGTTAATTCACCATCTCTGCGTCACCTAGAGCCTCTTCGAAGTGCAAATCTGCAACCTCAGGACTTCTTCGGCCATCCATTTACAAAAAACCCGTAGCATCCCCCCAAAATGTCCAACATTTTCAACAGATTAGTAGTTAAATTATTTACTTACTTGTTTGAGTTTGTGTTGTAACCTTTGAATAAAATACCGTAAAAGAAATTTTTAGAAATAATTTTCTCGTGATTAATCGGTTGCAAAAGATCAAGAGGCACACTGACAAATTTATTAGCGGCACCGGAGGAGATTTCCGACTGGCTGCGGTACCACCATGGACACTCGCGTAACCTCCTTTTCCACAATTGTCAAAATGAGATTGTCAAACTCAAAGCAATCATGGATTAAGCATTTCATTTTAAATTCAGTTAGTATCAAATGGTACATGGTATTCGTATTTTGGGTTGCGTAAAATTAATTTTCAGAAGTAATTCTCTCGTGACTAACCCTGTATATGGCTTTTATAAATGATTCTAAGGGCGTAGTTGGCCATGAATTTCAAAAATACCGCTTCGCTAAAATTATGCCTCATTATGACAGTTCTCACTTGTCACATTAATGTCTAATGTAATTTGTAACCTGTCATTTCAAGTAGTCGTTTTTATAGTTTTAACGTTTTTCGAGTGCCAGTTACAGTAATTCTCGGATCCATGCTCAAAAGAAAAAAGTCGTTTTCAAAACTTTTCGTTGCATACGAAAATTTTATTTTTGTGCTGCTGAGAAGCGAAGACTGTGAAAATGGTTTATTATGTTGAACAAGACACTTTCATCGTTATGTCTTGTTATCGCAAAGGGATTCGTAAACGAAGAGTTCTTGTATTCTATAACCGCTTGAAGCAAGAATATCTGGCCAAATGCCGTGATTTAATAATTCAGGAAACATCGTCACATTAAAGATGTAATCAACAGATTTGTTCGAACTGGCACTGTCAACAAAAAGTAATCTCGTGGAAGACCTTTTAGGTATCTGAGGAAGTTGTTCATGATTTGAGACGACTTGAGCAGAATTGAACAATTGAACAACGGGTCCAAAATATTGACGCAAGGATGTTACAGAACATTTTTGAAATTAAAAAGAAAGTGAACATGTGCCTTGAACAAAATAATGAACATTTTCAACATTTACTGTGATGTTTAACCGCAGTAAATTTGTTTCTTTTTATTGTAATGAATTAGTTTTATTTTTTAAAAAGATATCAAAGTATTTAGAGGTTTACAAGGTATGCTAAGGGTATAGGGTATTGGTGTATTGGCCCCTTAAGGGGAGGGGACGATGTAGTGACATCTCTGACGTCAGTGGAGGAATTGATTACTCTCGTCTGTTATCGAGACTGGACGGCACTCCGAATCGAATCGCCTCACGTCTCTGCATCAGATGTCAAATATCAAATACAAACCGTTGACCGGTACTGTTTTGTATTCGGAAATACAGCCATTATTTTTGCTTGGTGTACTCTTCCGCTATGAAATATTGGAATAATAGGAAATACGTATTTAAGGATAGCCGGTTTTTATTACATATATTTAATTTATTCGTTTTAATTTATAAAGATTATTTATCGCAATAATATTAAATTTGATAATTTTTAGAGAAGCAGGATTTGGTGGATTGTATTGCAGGAGCGAGGGAAGTCCTGTCGAAATACTGTTCGATTAGTTCTTTACATTTGCAATATTTCTTTTGTCACTGTTTGAAAAAAAAATAAACAAAGATACACTACCAAAAAACAAAAATTAACCTATACAGAAGAGTTAACAAGAGTACTAGCATGTACGATTGATCATTTTTGGCTTTTAAATTATTATATACAGGGTTATTCACCTAAGATGACCCATTTCTGTTTTTAAAATAGGCAACCCAAAATACAGATTCCACCTGAATCTGGATTACAAAAAATGTTTCAAAATTAAATTGTATCAAAGTTTGCTAAATGTATAGAAACAACAGTCAAAGTCAGTGTCAGAAAAACGCCTATGCATTCAGTAACGAGAAAACCGACATGATCCTTAGTTATGGACACGTTATGGAGAATGACACAAAAAGGATAGTCGTACAGCACAATTGTATGCCCGAAGATACCCTGACCGTGTGGCCCCAACGCCCAAAATTTTCAAGAGGCTAGAAAATTCGTTGCATAAGAAAGTGGCCTGCTAACAAGAGGAAACGGAACCAGACTGCGACTAGCTTGGAAACTGAAGTATAACTTCTTGCACAAGTTAATGAGAATCCTCATGGGACAAATTGCTATTGCTAGACAAATAAATAAATTTCATCCTAACCGCTCTAACCATCTGCACCTGGAGCATGCACTTGGTCCCACAAACCAACCACAAAGATTGGTTGGTTTTCTCGTTATTATCGTAAGAATGTATAGGCATTTTTCTGACACTGACGCACCTGGAGCATGCACTTCGACCTACAAACCAACCACAAAGTTTGGTCGGTTTTGTCGTTATTATTGTAAGAATGCTTAGGCCATGCATAGACATTTTTCTGACACTGACGTTTCGATACATTTAGGAAACTCGGATACAATTTAATTTTGAAACATTTTTTGTAATCCAGATTCAGGTGGAATCGGTATTTTGGGTTGCCTATTTTAAAAACATAAATGGGTCATCTTAGCTGAATAACCCTGTATAATTACAATAAACCACATAACCACAATAACGACAAATAAAGCATAGTTTTTTATTTGTGGTTATTTTTTATTAAAAACGTTTTGAATGAAAGCGCTTTTCTATGTTAAAAAATCCACTTCAGATGAGTTTCATTTTAGTGAACAGACTAATAACAGTATGATATTCTGACCATTTTACTCTACTCTCCCAGATTATTTCCACCACTTAACATGTTTTTTGTTGTTTCACATTACACATAATTTTAATGTAAACTGTAAAAATATAGTTTTCATTAACAGACGTTTGTTATAATTGATTGTTTGAACAAATTCGTAAGAAAACGTATTAATTCCCGTTTAAATGAAGCGTTTCTTGCCACCCAGCACGTGATACGTGGTCAGCCGTCCTTTCCCCACTGATGCATAACTGCTCTAGCTATTTCTTTCTTATGTTGATTACACTCGTTCGCGTATGGAAACGTATACAAGGTTCCATCCACTCCTTTATTAGATCAAAGCGTGAGACGATTCGATTCGGGGTGCCGTTCAGTCCCGGTAACAGACGAGAGTATCTGATTTCTCCACTGACGTCACAGATGTCACTACCTCATCCGTCCCCCCCCCCCCCTCCTTAAGGGGCCTATACACCAATTCCCTATACTTTTAGCATACCTTGTAAACTTCTAAATACCTTGAAAGATATGAAGCGTTTAGGCAACCAATTATACAGATGCGTGTGGTCTTTGTCATGCGTCCTTGGACACTTAGTACAGCTGATCTCCGTACAGTTAAATCTGAGAGGCGGCACGTTTACGTAACCTACTGCGACCCTATAATCATTTATAGAAACCCTGTATACAACAGGTTTGACCCGCCATCTGTACCTAAGCCGATTAAATGCTTATTCACAATGGGCATAAAGCATAAGGATGTCCTAAGCATTATGCTCATTGTGAACGAATACAAGCATAGAGCAATACACATAAATTCTGATGCATTAATGCTTATGATATCCTTATGCTTTATGCCCATTTTGAATGAGCACTAATTTTTCCAAATTCAAGGGCAATTGAAATAAAAATGCTGTATAAAGCCTCAGCTGTGGCTTTTTCTACTTCTACTAACCCCAGAAACTTTACAATCACATTGTTTACCTTTCTGCTGTAAAATCTAATGCACACACATAAATATTTTGTTATCGAAACATCTGTACTTTCGTCAACGATTAATGAATATGGTTGATCTCCAATTTTTTCCAATAATTCCTGCAACATGGAAGGTGCCACTACA